CCAATTCTCCACCCTTTTGGGTGTAGCCTTAACAGACTGATTGGTTGATGATACATGACGTGCGTTAGCCCAACCTTTAATTACCATAATAAATCATGTGACTGCAATTCCCATAACAATTGTCATGTTGATAAATCCTTTATGTAAACAAACCTCTTTCTCACAGAACTGTAGACAAGCCAACTGCTGGTTTGGGCTAAAAACACATCTGGGCTGATAAGTGTGAATCTAGCCTCAGAAAAAACAGCTTCTCTCAACAAGGAAAAATACAGACACACACATCTTTACATTTCAACATTTTAACATTGACTCTATATCCCATTAAAATCCTAACAGGGTCCACCACCCCCGAGGCAGCTGATAGTGGCCTTTAGCTCTATCTTGACCAGGAAATGATCCATCCATGACAATGCGGAGGCTTTTGCAATCTCCACGCATGGATATTCCTGTTCCGTACTAAAAAAACCATCGAGGGTATGACCAGCACAATGTGTGGACCCATCAACCAGTTGGGATAGGCCCATGTTTGTCATGGTCTCCATGAACTCCCAAACTGCACCAGTTAAATTGGACAAGCCAGTCTCAAGAGGGATGTTGAAATCACCCAAAATCAAGAGTCTGGGCTACTCCAGCAACAACTCTGAGACCAGCTAGGTCAGCTCGGTTAGGGAGTCTGTTAAGCAACAGGGTGGCCAGTAATACCAATAGAATCCCTAAACTATTTCTGGTTTTCAGGCTAAGGTACATACACTCAATATGGGTTGTTTTCCAGATAGGGTTCCTGGTCAAGGTTAGGTTGTTTCCAAAGCTATTCTCAAGGTTAGGTTGTTTCCAAAGCTATTGAGATCTATTTTGCACAAGGCTACTCCGCCTCCCCAACCACTTTCCCTTATCTGCTCATTAACTGAGTACCCAGCTGGGAGAGCCTGCACCCACGTAGCACTGCTGGCATCTCCCAACCAGGTCTCGGTAAAGCATGCCAGGTCAGCCACCTCATCCAATAAGAGGTCATAGATAATATGGGTCTTATTCTTAACCGACCTGGCATTGCAAGGAGCAGAGTAAGGGACTGTGGAATGGCTGTTATGCTCTCCAAGTTATCCTAGGAAACAGAGTGAACTGAAGAGGGGATAGGTTTTACGCATCTATCCCTTCTTCTTTTGTAACATTTCTTCACTCTGTTGCCGCCATATCTACCCTGCCCCCACACAACCTTAATGTCCACTCCCAAACTGTTCCTGGCTCCATTATGTGATGACATTAATAGGCGATCCAGCTAATGATAAGGGGGGGGGGCTGGGGGAGACTTAAGGGGAGTCAGAAGTATAGATCTTATTGTTAAAAGCAATTCTGACAATGACTGTATAAGCCCCGCTCAATCCTCCGCGGCCCCAAAATGCTGCCGCCGCCACATGTTTGCCGGGGGAGAGATGGTATGCTCCTCCCAGCTCGGCACAGCTGCGACAAGCCCAGGCTGCCTCAGTGGTCTCCGGCAGGACAGGGCTAGACACAGGACAGGGATGGACACAATCCTCCTCCGTGGCTCCAAAACGCCACCGCCACAGCCACCATGTGTTTGCCGGTGGAGAGATGGTATGTTCCTCCCGGCTCGTCACAGCTGCAGCAAGCCCAGGCCACCTCGATGGTCTCTGGCAGGGCGTCAATCCAAGGACCCTCCATCCTACATTCTGATCATTCACTTTGGGGCTCCATCAATACAGACAACATCTAAATCTAAATTAATTCCTGCACAGAAAGTGGTGTTTTCTACACAGAAAATGCTATAATTTGGGATTTATTCTGCCTAAAATTTGTAATTGGGGATTTAGTCTGCTGTTTTCTATATAAATCAAAGATCAAATTTATGCAGAAGTTATGCAGACTAAATCCTAATTACATCATTTCCTGGGCAGGAGTTACTATTTTTTCATTAAAAATTATTTTCCATGCAGAAAAGGCTGTTTTCTGAACAGAAAATGCTGAAATTAGGGATTCATTCTGCATAAAAATTGCATGTGGCTTATTAGTATAGAAAACAGCATTTTCTGCACATAAACCAGCACTTTCTGCACAGGGATTAATATTTTGGCATGGATACATTATTTTCCATGCAGAAAAGTCTGTTTTCTGCTGATTTCTGTGATAAAAAACCATGTTGATTTTTTCACGAAATAAGTTCTGACCTGTGAAAATTCTCATCAGTCCAGGATTCTTCTTGTCACAGTATCTCAACACTTGAAAAATATGTTTCCCAACCATTTTTGTAATATTTCCAAATATTCTTTCCATCCCTGCATTGGGGTCTGAAGTGACTCTAGTGATCAGTGAAGAGCCCCAGGTACATATCAGCATATTTTACAGACAGACATTTCATCCAAGCTCAAGTACAATGTGTTTCCAGTATAGCAGTTCACACATCAATTGTGAGCTACTGAGTATTGATTAATCAAGCAATCTTGTGACTGTGAAAAGGTTTTTTATACACTGGTACCTTTTCCCATATATATATATATATATATATATTTGTGTATCTTTAAGTCATTTCAACTTATGGTGCTCCTAAAAACCCCATCATGGGGTTTTCTTAGCAAGTTCCTTCAAGGGAATTTGCCATTGCCATCTTCTGAGGCTGAGAGTGTGTGACTTGCCCAAGGTCACCCAGTGGGTTTCCATGTCCAAGCCAGGATTTGAACCTTGGTATCCAGAATCCTAGTCAAACACTCAAGCCACTACACCACCCTGGGTTTCATATGCATAAATATGTATAAAGAGAGAGAAAGAGAGTTGTTATGTGTTTTCAGGATAACATGTTGACATAGAGTTTTCTTGGCAATATTTATTTAGAGGAAGTTTGCCATTGTCTTCCTCTAAGGCTGAGAGATTTTTAATAGCCCAGGATCATCCATTTGGCTTGTATGCCTGAGTGGGGATACAAACCCTGGTTTATAAGAGTCATAGTCTGGCCCTCACACCACTGTACCACACTGATGCTCTTTCTGTAGCTGGTTTTTCAAAGTGGATGACAAAACAACTCTGATCGCAGCAATGAGACCAGAACTATAAATCTCTTGGCAACATGAGAAAGTGCACTTTTGCACTTTAAAATAGCATTCAACAATTTCTCTAGAGGCAATAAAAACAAGAACATTTACTTTAGAGCTGAAGAAATGCCTGCTTTTTACAGATACCATCTTCCAACAAAGTTTTATTATATCCAGCACACAGACTCAACTACCATAAACATTTGAATCCTCTGGAGTTCTGTTATATCTTGAGCAGTCTTTGGGTACAACAGTATATGTGTGATGGTAAATTTCCTTTAAAATGTAGATGCTATGCGATAATTTGTATGAACTGTCATACAATCAGTTTAATGGAGAATAGGGTTTAACCAAAAACAGTAGGGCAATTTAGAATGAACCACTGCAACTCAAGCAAAGCAAGTTTTCAAGTAACTTCTTTAACAAGAATGCTCACCCTGATCAATGCAATCACTATTTTTGACAGAATCAGTCAGTGTGACAAGGGGCCTTTGCAGCGTGCTAGAAATAGTGCAAATTGAGTCCACTTTAAGGGTTAGGGTTAGGGTATCATGGGAACTGTATTTTATTGTGGCACCAGAGCTCTCTAACAGAAAAGGCTCAATGTGTCAGAGGGAAAAAAACAATTCCCATGATTCCCTAGCACTAACCCTAATCCTTAAAGTAGACTCAATTTGCACTATTTCTGGCAGTCTGCAAAGGCCCTTCAGTCCACGGAGCTATCCTAGGTAGTAACATGCTGGTACTTTCTAACTTGATTATGGATTAGCATACTGAGTTGCTTTTAGATTAGAATTTCCAATATCCCCTAGCCACCATGACTAGTGTCCATGCTGGTTTGGAGATTCTGGATATTATAGTCCAAAACCAATTTTTTTCCCCTCAGAGTCACAGAATATTCTCTTCTGCTATTATTCTCTTCTGGTATAGAATTAATTGTAAGGTTCACCTTGTATTTCCATGATGTCCATGTATCACTAAACAACAGTAGCTATCACTATGTTGATTTTTAAGAATGGTGGATATCTCTAAGAAAGAGGGCTGATTGGTTGAAGGAGTGGTGCAATTCTAGATGACATATGGAGAAGGACAGTAGAAAAGACTAAATTGCTGAACTATTGAAACAGAAAGACATGAAATTCTGTCATGAATAATTATTTAGTAGGATGGCATGAACCAGCATGGTGTAGTGGTTTGAGTGTTGGACTATGATTCTGGAGACCAGGATTTGAATCCCCTCTTGGCCATGGAAACCCATTAGGTGACCTTGGGCAAGTCACACTCAGGGTCACACTCAGGCTCAGGCTCAGAGGAAAGCAAATACAACTCCCCTCTGAACCAATCTTGCCAATAAAAACCTGGTGATAGGGTCACCATAAGGCACACAACAGTAACAGAATGGCATGGGACTTAGAAAATTGAGTCACCATGAAAATCATATATATCACATGTAAAAAATATTAGGAATGTTTGCTACTTAGAAGTATGGGCAAAACAGACTAAAGAAGAGAGAGAGAGAGAGAGAACGACCCCCCCCCCGATGCATCAGGAGGGGTTTTCTGTTGCACCGGCCATTTTAAGAGGCTGACACCACAATTGGCTGGGCAGGCAGGAAGTCCCGCCCTTCCTGTTCTGCCCAGCCAATCAGGGGCATCTCACGAGATCCCCCAGCACACTGGGTAATCTCGCTAGATCTTTGGCTCTCATGAGATTGCCTGTGAGATTTGTGGGCTATATAGCCCTTGGCTGCCATGTGGTGGCAGCCATTTTTGCTGGGGCAGTCAAGCGACCCAACCCACCCACTCTTAATTAACAGCTGTTTACTTATTTACTCTCAGGCTTCAGCTAGTTGCCTTCGGGGGCTGGGAGGGAATTTTCCCAGAGTTATTGTAGCCTGGGTTTTTTGCCCTCCCTGAGCATAATATAGTGTGGGTTTGCATAATAGTGGTATCTGGTGCTTTCATTGTTGGTTGTGAGTTACACATGAGTGGTTTAAAAGTTATCACTTATCTTGTCACAACTTGGGGTCAGGTTCTTGGCTGGTCAATTATAATGTTGATCTCTTATTTAGTTCTGGCGGGCAGGGAACCCCCCCTGGGGATAATTCGGCTATTAGAACTTACCAAATTGGATTAATTAATGTGGATGATGGGTATACATCATCAAATTAACTAAACTCTCTATGACATCATCAACCATGTTGATTGCATCATAACTTGCTTACGTCATATGTTTAATTATGATGTCATGTCCGGTATGGGGGACATGATTTGTTGAAATTGTGTAACTAATTTGAACAGGATGTTCTTGACACATGTTGTGATGGACATGGCTTAATCTTGATTGATACTGCAGTTAAGTACAAGGACACATGTGTCAAGAACAAAATTATGGTCAATTGAGAAACTGTTATTGAAAGCTGTTTTACGACCCTGTACAGATAAACAAAGTTGTGGCCAATTTATTATACAAGAAAAGGCATGCAGACTCTTTTGTGCCAGTGCAATTAACCTGAGCTACCTGGGCAAAGAAAGAAAGTTAAACATTTAGATGGGGAATGAGTTTAGCCAATCTACAAATAATATATTTTGACAACATAGGGCTGAAACAGATAGCTGAAAAAACCCCACTTCTGGGCAGCATCAAAGCATGGTATTTACATGCCGCACACGCTGATGCCACCCTGAAGCTCGGTGGCTGTCCAGACATGGGTGGCTTCACGACACTCCGGCAATGCAACTTTTAGACACTGCACATTGCCAGTTCATCTTGAAGCCACTCCTATTTGGGCTGGGTTCAAGGTGAATTAGGGCCATGGTGTGTGTTTGCCATAGCCCCAATCCATCTTTGGTGAGGACAGCTTCAAGCTGCCCCTTTCTGGCAGTCTGTTCCAGCCCATAGTTAAAGAACTATCTATAATGAAACCAAAATCAGACTTTTTCATGTTGGTTCCATGGATCCATTGGAGTTATTTTTTAAGGTAATGTTTATACAGTGGACCTTTAGAATCAGTGGTTTGGTGATCTACAGATTTGGCTGGCCATGGATCAACATGCATCATATTATTCAACGGTGATGTATGCATATGGACATGCTGACACTTCCGTTCACACATGGAGTGCAAACATCCATGTTTTTTTACTATTTACCTAGGAACTGAACTGAACCCCTACAGATAGGAAGGGTCCACTGTATTTTAATCCATTCTATATTAATTGTTGCATCTTACTGAATTCTTTACTGCTCATTTTGGGGGGAGAGTGTGAGTGCTACTCTGATAACCAATATATACATGAGCTCAGTATCTTTGTTTTCAAACTTACATTTTCCATTTCTCAACCCAAAATTTCAACACTATTGAATATTTCTGCTTCACAGTCTGCCATTGTAAATTTCTTAACAGCCACAATGTAAATACCTGTATAGGTGTTAATTTGACAGGGATATCCCATGTGGCTTTTCTGTCAGCAATAAATTTGACCTTGATGAGTGTTGATGGTTTGGACTGTAATAAACTAAACTGCCAGAACCTGTTTCAGATGCCATATTCCATCAATGCACTTTTGTAAAAGTCAGTGAAAACCTGTGTGTCTGTTTTATACAACTCTGTAGAGTTACTGGAGCAAAGCAATTACATTGTTTATAATAGGGTTACTGGAGTCGAAAAATAAGAAGTATTCCTGATGAGTCTAAAAGCTTGCACCATGCTCAATTATAGCCAATTCACTGTTTTATTGAAACACCAGCTTTCAAAAATAAAAGTGGGTCTTTTCTACTCAAGATAAAATGGAAAATTTTGTTTCACTCCATTTAATCATTAAATTCCTTTTCCTGTCTAAACCCAGACAATGAGTCCAATTCTTTTACTGTGTATATGCTCTTCTAACTGTAAAGGGGAGGAAAACCTACCATGGGAACAGTATACTTTGATGCAGATATTAGATTCATCATGTCAATCTCTTCTCTTTAAATAGTACAAACTGGGCTTTGATGGGCTACATTGAAATGTCTTTGAAGTTTAATTTGAGATGAAGAGGTAGTTCTTGAACATGATACTTCTTTTGTGCTTTCACTTTCTCTCTTTTTTTAAAAAAAAAATACGAGTTTATTAATTTAAGCATCTTACCTTACAAGCCAACAAATTAATAACATCCTGTCTTAAAAGTGTTTTCCGCTATTAACTAATCCCTCATATATATACATCATATTTCCTCTTTTTATTTATTTTTACCCATTCTTCCTCCCCCCCACCCCAAGAACGATGTTTTCTTTTTAATTTCTTTTCTCTCCCATGTGGAAAATCATTTTAATTGTTTCCTTAATAATTTCATATCCCTTCTCCTCCTCAACATGTTCAGTCATTATTTTCCAATTATTAACCCATACTACTACTTTCAATTGACCAAAATAAGCCCTTCTTTTTTCTATTATAAAATCAAACATCATATATTCTGATATATATTGCTTCCATCTATTACAATTCCATTTTTCTTTATCCTTCCACCCAGATGCAATTACTGCACGTGCTGCTATAATTAACTTTTTGAATAAATATTCCTCCTTTTTCTGTAGTGCTTTCACATTCTCAAAACATAGCTTGGGGTAATAGTAGCACTGATGTTAAAATGAATGTTGAAGGCACAACAATGCTTTTTATTTCAAAGGAGTGGGTTGAAAGGCAGTGGTCAGGATCTATTGGATCA